GAGTCAGATGTGACTCAAAGGCAGTGATTTTTTTTTTTTTTTTTTTTGGTATCTCTACGGAAGTAGATTGCCCAGTCTTCCTTTTGAGGAGTGGCTCGTGGGTTTGAACACACAAGCCTTCTGGTTAGCAGTCAAATGCCTCAGGCGCCACTCCCCCAGAGTTCCCACCTCTCATTTAGGATTTGTAATGAAGAGGAGTGGGTTACAGACCAGTTAGAGTCTGCCAACCCCAACATCGTAAACACTGCAGTTAAAATACATTTTATAGGGCTTCAGATGTGATCTGATTCTTTTGGCCACCAAGTAGACTGGTCTTCTGTTATGTCTCATTTACCAAAGGCTTTCTTAAGAATCAAGCATCAAGACCAAAGGAAGCTTTTCTGTCTCTACTTTTTGTTGTTGTTGTTATGTGCCGTCGCGTCAGACCCGACTCACAGTGACCCCTCCTTGGGTTTCCGAGGCAGTATCACTATGGAAGTAGATTGCCCAACCTTTCTTCTGAGGAGTGGCTGGTGGGTTTGAACTGCCAGCCTTCTGGTTAGCAGTCAAGTACCTTAGGCACTATGCTACCAGAGCTCCTGTCTCTACTTAGTGAGATTTTTTTTTACAGCTTTATTGAGCTCTGGTAGCATAGTTGCAGGTGTTTTTATTTGTAGCCTCTCTTACTCGTTAGGCAGATCAGGATTTGAAGACTGGATAGATGCCAGGAGTACAGTCTTAGTTCTGTCTTTGATTTCTAATTACAGTACTTATTATGTCCAGAGTGTATTTAAAATATTTTATAACCTGCAGAGCCCTGGAGACCTTTCTTATGCCAAGTGTTAATTGTTTAGCTCTTTATTGGAAGGCTATGGGGGGAGGATGGGCAAAATGGTAAGAACTCTTTACCCATAGTATTTCAGCATTTTAATACTATTTGGGAACTCTGGTGGTGTAGTGCCTAAAGCATTTGACTGTTAACCAGAGGCTGGTGGTTCAAACCCACCAACCACTCCTTGGAAGAAAGACTGGGCAATCTACTTCCATAGAGATACTACCTCAGAAACCAAGGAGGGGTCACTATGAGTCATATCATGTGAGGGAGCTTTGGTAGCATAGTGCCTAAGGCGTTTGACTGGTAACCAGAAGGCTAGTGGTTCAAACTCACCAGCCACTCCTTGGAAAGAAGATTGAGATTGGGCAATCTACTTCAGTAGAAATAATGGTGGTGGTATGTGCGGTCAGGTTGTCTCCAACTCATAGCAACCTTATGTACAACAGAACAAAACACTGCCCGTTCCTGTGCCAGCCTCATGATCCCTACTATACCTGATCCCATCACTGCAGCCACTGTATCAGTCCATCTCGTTGAGGACTTTCTCCTCTTCTGTTGACCCTCCCCTGTACCAAGCATGACATCCTTCTCCAGAGATTGGTCACTTCTGACATGACCAAAGTAGAAGAGACAAAGTCTGACCATTCTCGCTTCCAAGGATTATTCCAGCTGCATTTTCTTCCAGGACAAATTTGTTAGTTCTTTTAGCAGTCCACAGTACTCTCAGCATTCTTTGCCAACACCACAACTCAAAAGAATCAACTTTTCTTTGGTCTTATTCATTGTCCAGCTCTCACATGCATATGAGGTGATTAAAAATACCATGGCTTGGGTTAGGTGCATCTTAGTCTTCAAGGAGATATCTTTACTCTCCAGCACTTGAAAGAGATCTTTTGCAACAGATTTGCCCAATGCAACATGTCTTTTCATGTCTTGACTGCTGCTTCCATTGGCATTGATTGTACAACCAAATAATATGAAGTCTTTGGAAACTTCAATCTTTTCTCCATTTATCACGATGCTGCTTATTGGTCCAGTTCTGAGGATTTTTGTTTTCTTTATATTGAGAGTAATCCATACTGCAGACTGTAGTCTACAATCTTCATCAGTAAGTGCACTTTCAGCAAGCAAAGTTGTATCGTCTGCGTATCTCAGGTTGTTAATGAGCATTCTTCCAATCCTGATGCCGTGTTCTTCTTCCTATACGCCAGCTTTTCAGATTATTTGCTCAGCATACAGATTGAATAAGTATGGTGAAAGGATACAACCCTGGCACACTCCTTTCCTGATTTTAAACCATGAAGTATCCCCTTGTTCTGTTCGAATGGCAGCCTCCTGGTCTATGTACAGGTTCCTCATGAGTACAATTAAGTGTTTTGGAATTCCCATTCCTCTCAATGTTATTCACAATTTGTTATGATCCACACAACTGAATGCCTTTGCATAGTCAATAAAACACAAGTAAACATCTTTTTGGTATTCTTTGCTTTGAGCCAAGATCCATCTGACATCAGCTATGATATCCCTTTCCATGTTACCTTCTGAATCCAGCTTGCGTTTCTGGAAGTTCCTGCTGCAACCTTTTTGAATTATCTTCAGCAAGATTTTACTTGAGTGTAATATCAATGATATTGTTCAATAATTTCTACATTCTGTGGGATTACCTGTCTTTGAAATGGGTACAAATATGGATCTCTTCCAGTCAGTTGGCCAGGAAGCTGTCTTCCAAATTTCCTGGCATAGGCAAGTGAGTGCCTCCAGTGCAGCATCCATTTTTTGAAACATCTCAATGGGTATTCCATCAATTCCTGGAGCCTTGTTTTCTACCAATTCCTTCAGTGCAGCTTTGACTTCTTCTTTCAATACCATTGGTTTTTGATTCTGTCACCTCCTGAAATGGGTAATTGCCTACTAGTTCTTTTTGGTATACTGACTCTGTGTTTTCCATCCATCTTCTTTTGATGTTTTCTGCATCATTCAACATATTGTCCATGGAATCTTTCAGTGTTGCAATTTGAGGCTTAAATTGTTTCCTCATCTCTTTCAGCTTGAGAAATTCTGAGCGTCTTTCTTCCCTTTTGGTTTTCTAACTCCAGGTCTGTGCACATTTCGTTGTAATAACTGACTTTGTCTTCTTGAGCTGCTCTTTGAAATCTTCTGTTCAGCTCTTTTATCCTGCTAATTCTTCCGTCTACTTTAGCTGCACATCATTCAAGGGCAATTTTCAGACTCTTCTGACATTCATCTTAGTCTTTTCTTTCTTTCTTGTCTTTTTAATAACCTCTTGCTTTCTTCATGGATGTCATCCCACAGTTCTTCTGGTTTTCAGTCATTGGTGTTCAATGCATCAAATCTATTCTTTAGATGGTCTCTAAATTCAGGAGGGATATAATGAAGGTTATATTTTGGCTCTTCAGCTTCAACTTGAACTTGCATATGAACAGTTGATAGTGTTCCACAGTCATCCCCTGGCCTTATTTTGGCCAAAGATATTGAGCTTCTTCATCACCTCTTTCCACAGATGTATGTAGTCTGTCTGATTCCTGTGTACTCCGTCTGTCGAAGTCCACATGTATAGCCACCGTTTTTGTTCTTGAAAAAAGGTATTTGCAATGACTAAGTCGTTGGTCTTGCAAAATTCTGTCATGCTATCTCCAGCATCATTTTGATCACCAAGGCCATAATTTCCAACTGCTGGTGATTCCTCTTTGTTTCCAACTTTTGCATTCCAATCACCAGTGATAATTAACACATTTTGGTTACATGTTCGGTCAATTTTAGACTGCAGAAGTTGGTAAAAATCTTCAATTTCCTCATCTTTGGCTTTGGTGGTTGGTGTGTAAATTTGAATAGCAGTAGTAGTAACTGGTCTTCCTCGTATGCATATGGATATTGTTCTATTACTGACAGCATGGCATTTCAGGATAGAACTTGATACATTTTCTGTGATGATAAATGCCACATCATTCTTCTTCAATTTGTCATTCCCAGCGTAGTAAATCATATGATCATCTGATTAAAAATGGTCAATACCAGTCCATTTCATCTCACTAATGCTAGGATATTGATCTTTATGCGTTCTTTTTCATTTTGGACAACTTCCAATTTTCTTAGATTCATACTTCATACATTCCATGTTCCAATTCTTAATGGTTATTTGCAGCTGTTTCTTCTCATCTTGAGACATGCCATATCAACAAATTGGGGTCCCAAAAACTTTACTCTATCCACATCATTAAGGCCGGCTCTACTCTGAGTTGGCAGCTCTTCCCCAGTCATATTTTGAGTGCCTTCCGACCTGAGGGGCTCATCTTCTGGCACTATATCACACAGTATTTCAGGGTTATTCATAAAGTTTTCCAAAAATATATCTGTGTTTCTTTACTGCTATTCATAAGGTTTTCACTGTCCAATTCTTCGAGAAGTGGATGATCCCTTCCTTCTTCTGAATCTGTCTTAGTCTGGAGGCTTCGCTGAAAACTGTCCACCATGAGTACCCTGCTGGCATTTGAAACACTGGTGGCACAGCCTCCAGACTCACAGCAGTACTCAAGCCACCACAGTAGGACAAACTGACAGATAAGTTTGTCTCCCCTAGCTGTTCTAAACTACTCTGCTCATTTCCTGGTCTCCCCTGCCCTGCTCACTTACCCAGCCTGCCCCTGGGGCAAACACCCAACTTCTGCTGGTCCTGAGGCTGGCTTACTGTGGCCTCCACCCACGGACAGCTCCCCACACACAAACACCTGCCTTTCGCTGGTCTGGGGACTGGCTTATCCCTAGAGATACCACCTCAGAAACCCAAGGAGAGGTGGTTGTGAGTCAGGCTTGACCCAATGGCCATGGGTTTTTTTTTTGTTTTTTTTTTTTCTTTTTTAAACAGCCCTATCAGCACAGGTTTTCCTACTTAGTTCATCATGACTAGGACATACGAAGTTGCCCACCAGTCAGGCTAATGGCCATTTTAGGTCCTGACCTCAGTATAATTGCTGGCAGATGAGGATGATGATTCAAACTATTCCCTTAATAGTTGGGGAAAGATTTTTTATTCTGGGGAAAAGCTCCATAGATCTCAAGAACCTCACAATATCATGTGTTAGTGGGCACTGCTCAGGCACACCCATGAGGAAGCCCTGTGCATGGGTTAGCTGTGCCCTCCCTTCTCACTATCTCTTACTGCCCACAGAGGGTGCTCAGAACTATGCCGCATCCCCATGGTGGAATACAAACTTGACAGTGAAGGCACACCATGCGAGTACAAGACACCCTTCAGGAGGAACACCACGTGGCACCGGGTGCCCACCCCTGCCACTGTACAGCCCATCTCCAGAGCCTCCCCCGTGCCCAGCACACCTGATAGGCTGCAGTGCCAGCAGCTCCTTCAGCAGGCCCAGGCAGCCATCCCTCGCAGCACTTCCTTCGACCGTAAGCTGCCTGATGGGACAAGGTAATGCTATTTCTTTTCATGGAACCCCTGTTGCTTCTTCAAAGGCAGCTCTTATAAAACACTGGGATTAAGAACTAACATTTGTATGGAGGGACTTTTTATTTTCCCAACCATCTGTAAGTTGCTTGTTCTGAGCAAGATGGCCATGCAGGCTTCATAAATCAGTGATGTTGAGACCATCTTCTGCTACAACAGCTATGGATAAAATACAGACTGTATCCACATCCCAACTTACCAGAGGAAATGATTGTTTCTCTGTTTCCCTGACCAGTTTGCCCTAAACAACCTTAGGAAAGATAGTTCAGGAATTATGCTCCATGTGCTTTAAAATTAGCATAATTTTAAATATAAATAAAACAGAACTGCTTCTGCTAAATCAATGACTTATTCCCACCATCATAATGAATGTATTATTTTAAGAGATTCTAATATCATTAGCATTTCTTCTTTAATTTTCTGTCTTATTTTAAATGAAGTAGGAGTTAGTTTAAATTTTTTAATGAAAGGATGCATTTGTTTAGAAGCTGGTGAGAGTTTTTGGATACATAATTCAGATAGGTTGTTTCAAGTGAATAAAATAAATGTGTTTTAGTGTTGTTAATTCCTATTCCTATTTATTTAAGTCTTTCCATAACTTACATGTCATGGACACAGCATGAGTTTTCTCAAAGCAGTTTCTAGTCTGTAGTCTGATAGAGTGCTTTGAGCCAAGTGGCCTGTGTCATGTCCCAGCTTTCCCCTTACTTGATATGTATTACCTGGGACTAGTAACTTGTCCTTTTTGTGCCTCCAACTTCCTCATCTAAAAAACAGATAGTAATGATAAAAGCCTCAGTGGGCATTCTGAGGATTAAATGAATTACTGTATATAAAATTCTTAAAACTATACCTGGTACATAGTAAGCCTCGATAAGTATTAATCATAATTAATTGATTAGAAGATTAACAAATATGGTCATCTTGTACTTCTCCAATTTATTCTTTCCAAAGTGATCCATTTGAAATTTGATATTTTAATTGACCTATCTTGGTACTGAGTCTCCATACTCAGTGCTTACTGAATTTATAAACTTCTCATATTCAAAACCACATACATGTGTACCAGGTTGAAGAGGCAACCAACACACACAAGTAACATGTGAAACGGGGCCAGTCCACAAAACCTCTGGTATTAAAATAGAACATAGTAAATTAAAGAGAAAAAAAAAAAAATCAGCAGTCGTCTAACAACCAAAGGGAAACTTGGCAGGCATACTTTGATCAAGTGAGTTCTTGGATTTTACTCATTTTTGTGTCTGAAAAAAAGGATGAAAAGGATTGCATTCAGTAGATGTGTGAAAATGAATGGTTTTGCCAAATTTAGGTTTTTCTCTGTGCACATGGTTAAATATAGAACCAAAACGTGACTTTGATTAAGTATCATATGACAAGAAGTACTAATGTTTGCATAATGCTGCACGCATGGGGGTTGTGTTGGAATTCCTCCATGTTTTACTGGAATCGTTATCTGAGGTTTAAATCTTTAGATGGTGAAGGCTTCTTCCTGCCCACATCCCCTTCCTTTAATATACTTCCAGTTATAAACCACCCAATATCTCACAATAGTGTCGACTTTCAGTTTATCTATGATTTATTCTGTTTCACGTTGAAATGCATATTTCCTCCTTTTTTTTGTCATTGTAAAAATGAATTTATTTGTAAAACAAAACAGGCCAGGTCAAGATGTTGACCCTCCACAGACCCCTCAGTGCACTGTTAATGACTCTGGTCAACATTGCAGAAGTTCGCCCAGCAACCAGTCATCCTCCAGCGATCCAGGGCCTGGTGCCGGCGGTGGCCACTGGAGACAGCAAGTGACATATGATGGGTACTGTCCCTTTTATCTTATTGCTGTCCTCTGGCAGTAGCATGCTTCTGTGATTACTTTGAAAAGCATTTATACTGTATACAAGGCGATTTGGAGAATATGAAAATGCCAGGCATGGCTTTCAATCAAATTATTTGTCCAGGTTAGAAAGCTTATTATTTCTATGTTTTAGGAAGCACTCATTCATCTGTATCCTGGACCAATTTTTTTTTTTTCTTTTTAATGAAAAATCTTTCTTAAAATGTGAAAGTTAAGGATCTCTAGGGGGTTCTGTGGACAGTGAACCTTGAGAGCTTTTCATTTAAATTGTTGAAGAAGAGTAAACTCACAGGCTGTCTTGCAAATGCTTTTTCTCCATGAAACAGCTCAGAATTAGAGAAAGTAGATGTAGCGTGTGGCAACATAAGTATTTGATACATCTTTTTTGCCTCCTGTTGGAGAAGAAGTTTGCCTTGGAGGTTTAACTATGAACTTTCCCTTGTAGTGTATGCATGGTTTCTAGGAGCCAGCTCCAGCAGAGCCAGAGGTTCCTTGTGAACATAGTGACAGCTGAACTGATTGATGCTAATAACTCAGGGAAAACATTAATACCTTTCAGGCAAGAAAGAGCAAGTGCTTGTGCAGGCTTATTTTTCTGGGGAGTAGTCATTGCTTCTAGCAGCGGTGTTTAGAATGTTGCTTTGCAATAGAATCGAGCCTCCGTTACTTTAAAGGAGCTAAAGGGGAATGATTTAGACTAGAGAATGACCGTGTCAAACCTTAGAAGAATGTCAGTGTGGGAAGAGAAGCTTTCCACTTCTAATTTTACATGTCCAGAGGAAAATTTCTCTCCCTGGTGGCCTCTTCTCTTTTGGTTTGAGTTCAGAATTAGATACTGGTAGTCTGAGTTGCATATGTTATCCACTTAATGTAGAAGATGGATTTCTTAAAAATTATATGTAAAGTGATTTTCCTAAATTAAGTTGTGATTTTAAAGTAGGAGTTTTTGTATAAATGGAAAAACCTTGCCTGGCTTTTTCTGTACACCAAAGAATCACTTTATAATGCAAATAAGAATTCTTTTATTTATTTCCTCTGTGAGATTATGTTTTTATATTTTGGGTTTTGATGAAACAATGCTCAACTGAATGCAATCTATAGCCAATCGGTTATATTTTATATTCCTTGAGAAATTTACTATAAAGAAGTATCAGTGCCATGTATAGTAAGCACAAGAAGAAAAAATAGTGAACTCTACCTTGGCCATGGGGGACACTCTTAGGCTCATGGAGTCAGCAGGATTTCTCTATCCAAATGTCTTTACTGTACCTGTTGTTGTTGCTGTTATGTGCCATCGAGTTTGACCCGATTCATAGCGACCCCTCCTTGGGTTTCCGAGGCAGTATCACTAGGGAAGTAGGAGTGGCTCACGCCTTTGAACCACCAGCCTTCTGGTTAACAGTCTAGTGCCTTAGGCACTACACCACCAGAGCTCTTAGGGTCCCTGTGGTGAAACCGAATTCCCCAATTCCACATGCATTAGCATCTCTAGCAGGGCTAGGCTGACAGATACTGCACTTTCCTTTACTAAAAGAGCTTCTGTTCAGGGGTTTCCTTTGCACTGCTGATTTAGAAACCAAAAAACACAATGGTCATGATGCTGGGATGGTATAGTGAGCAGGAAGGCTGAGCTTCGTATTTCTTTCTAGATGCCAGTCTCCTCTGCTGCTTGACCACCAGGGCTCAGGCCCTCTGGAGTGTGAAGGCATCAGGGAACGAGAAGACATCATGGAAGGAAGCAGACACCTTGGTAACAGAAAACTCCAAAGGGAAAAATCTTCCTTCCACATTCCTCCCACACTCCCTTCTCTCCCCCGTGCACATCACTCTTTTATTCATTCATTCATTCATTCATTACATTTTCAGGGAACATTTCTGTGCCACGTGCTAAGATGACAATAAGCTGGATATAGTAGGGGATGTGGTCATGGTTGGTGGTAGCTGTGGTGGTTGTGGAAATGGGATATGAACTTTATAGCATTGATATGCTTGCTCTTAAGACCTATCCATTTGTAACATCAAAAAGTCCTAAAACCAAGTCCTGTGCATTTTTTACCAAATCATTTGTTTGGTTCCTTCTTTAATCTTTTGGTAACATTAGAAAGTAGACATTCAACTACTCTCTCTTTATGCAACAGAAACCAAATGGCATGGTGTACCTTCTAAAGTTCTGAGTTCCTATAAAGAAAGAGCCCTGCAGAAAGATGGAAGTTGTAAAGATTCCTCCAATAAGCTTTCTCATGTAAGTCTTTTGTTCATAAATGTATTGCTCATTTAGCTAGGACTAATGCATCTCAACACACATCACTAGTGTGGCATTACTGTCAGGGATTATCAAAATAATATATCACTTACCTCACAGGTAAGGTTAAAAATAGAGAGTTCAACTCCCCTTCTGCTTTAACCTCTGATTTATAAAGAAACTCAAAGAAATGTCACACCACAAATTAATGGCAAAACCATGATTATAACAACAGCCTTTTGATCCTAGAGAGCCAGTGTTAAAGGTTCTAAATCAAATTTCTATTTTTAATCTGTTAACCATGTATCCATTTAGGGGCATATTGCAATAGAGGTTACTGTGCAGTGATGTGTGATCAGAGGTAGGCACTATGTGCATAGTTGCACACAATTCACAGTGATGGGGCAGCAGCTAGTGTGTATGCTATTTGTGAACTGCTTGGCATGTCCCTGCCAGGTCTCTCTACCTTTGGTTTACTTCTCTCAACTAGGAGGTGGGTCTTTTAGGTAGAAAAAACTATCACTTAAACTTGGAAACATGAATTGTTGTTTGTTGCCATATATAGTCAACATTTTAAAGTTATTTTAAAGGAATTATGTAAGCTGCTGATCTGAGTTGTTTCTTTCCTCTTCCTTAGTGTGGCATTGGAGAGCTTTTCAGTCACCTGTTAGCCAACATAGGCTATATTTCTTCCTTTACGTACGGCCTGTACCTTTTCTTGAGTCAGCCTTACAGTATCCATTTTAAATCCCACCAGTGCAAGTCTCCAATAGTAGTTTAAGCAGATGGAAGCAGGAGAAAGTGGTAGACTTGAAAATACTGATGTATGATAAAAAGGTCAAGGGGGTTTTCTTAAGGATCTGATAGGAGAGAATGAAAGAAGAAAAGGCCAAAACAAATTAAAACAGATCAGAAGCTCGGTTTCAGTATTTCTCAGCCCTTTGCATGTCTTGTTCATTTCCTAGGCTATGAAGAAGGATTCCATGACTGTATGAACACAATGTACAAAACAGAAAATTTATTCTGTTCTTTTTGCTTTTTTTCTTCTAGGAACCCTAGATCAATGACTCTTTTTCAAACTTATTTACTCTAAAGGGAGTCCTATCTTTTTAACTTCTGGTACATAATTTGACTAGTCTCTCACGGAGAGATGCCTCATGCTTATATCTTACTTACTTTACAGCTCGTTGTTATGTGCCGTCGAGTTGGACCCAACTCACAGCGACCCCTCCTTGGGTTTCCGAGGCAGTATCACTAAGGAAGTAGATTGCCCAACCTTCCTTCCGAGGAGTGGCTGGTGAGTTTGAACCTCCAGGCTTCTGGTTAGCAGTCAAGCACCTTAGGCACTATGCTACCAGAGCTCTGGTAGCATAGTGGCTAAAGGCACTTGACTGCTAACCAGAAGGCTGGTGGTTCAAATCCACCAGCAACTCCTCGGAAGGAAGATGGGGCAATCTACTTCCGTAGTGATACTGCCTCGGAAACCCAAGGAGGGCTTGCTATGAGTCGAGTCCAACTCGACGGCACGTAACAACAACAACAACACTTTACAGCTCAGTTATATAACTGACCGATCCAAAGTACTACCACTGGGACTCAGACCCAGGTCTTCAGACCCAAACTTGAGACTGGCACCATGATTATACAGATGTTTTCTTGACTAAAGGATGCTCTCCTCCTTTTCTTGGTTATCCATGTGCTTTACTAGTTTAGATAACACTTGTTGATTATTTTCTTGTTAGTGATACTGTGGCAATAGTTTTATGCTTTATGCATAAAGAGTTCAACAAAGACTTTAAAAGGGAGAATACTCACTTAAGATTAATTTTTTGAGGAATTATGAATCATGGCCTTTTATATAAAAAGTGAATTCTATCACTCCCTAATATTGAAGACTGAGTGGGTAGTAAGGATTTATATGGGCTCATTTGGGTTTGTAGTTTTGTGAGTCTGGGTGAGAAAAATAGTCTTTATAAGAAAGCAAAGTATGGGATACATTTGGAGGTTTTTGTTTCTTTTCTTCTCAAGATTGGAGATAAAAGTTGCTCGAGTCATTCCAGCAGCAATACACTCTCCAGTAACACCTCCAGCAACAGTGATGATAAGCACTTTGGGTCTGGAGATCTGATGGACTCGGAACTGCTGGGATTAACCTACATTAAAGGTGCCTCCACGGACAGTGGCATTGACACGACACCCTGCATGCCTACGTCAATCCTTGGCCCCCTGCATCTAACGGGCAGCAGGTCCATGATCCATAGCCGGGCAGAGCAGTGGACTGACTCTGCTGACATCTCTGGACCTGATGATGAGCAAGTGAAGATGTATGCAGTTCACAGCTATGCCTCTGCCATTTCTGTCAGCAATACTGCCGAAGGCAGCATGGGCGACCTCAGTGAGATATCCTCTCATTCCAGGTGAGTGCTCCCCTGCCCTGTGTACCAGCACCTGCTTATGGGGCCTGGGCTCTGTCACGACCCAGGATGGGGGCAGGAGTGTTTTTAAGACTCAGCTGAGTTACTGTATTAGGCAGGGCCTGAAGTACCAGAACATGAACAGAAGATAGATGATCACTTGATTGCCTGACTTCAGATGGTGTGCTTGTTTGTAAAACAGTTATGAAAATTTCCTCATTGATAAATTCATGTGTGTGTGATTTTACTTTCCTTTCCCTTACTTTAAATTTGAGTGAAGATTAAATTGAGATAGGAGCTGCTCTAGTTAGGTCACTTTCTTTTCTCTCCCAATTCAATCTGCCGGATGATACTCAGATTATAGTGAACAGTAATTAGGGTTAGCATTGGTATTGTGTATGTGTGTAGCTCCTACAGTTTAAAAAAAAAAAAAAAAACATGCACAGCTCTTTTCTAAGGCCTTCCTTATAAGAAAGGAAGTCTTCTGTGTAACAGTAAGTGTGTGTTTAGTTTGGCAGTTGGATATTTTTAAAATAAAGACTAGCTAAATTTAAATACATTATATTCTCGGTAAGGTGCTCTGGTGGTGTAGTTGATAAGGCCTTTGGCTGCTAACTAAAGTTGGTGATTCAAACTCGTCAGCTGCTCACAGGAGAAAGATGAGGCAATTTACTTCTCTAAAGATTTACAGCTTTGGAAACCCAAGGGGAGTGACTATAAGTTGAAATCAACTTGATGGCACTGGGTTTGGTTTTTAAATATTCTAATTCTACATGTTTACTATATAACCTGAGTGGTTTTAAAGCTAATAATTTGTGATTCTTCCCTTCAATTTCACATAATGTCTACCCAAGAAATACATATTCAGGTTTCGGTGTGTCCAGAATTTAACTACTGCATAGAACTGTTCTACCTTTCTTTCTTGTCACCAAGGCCTTCCCTGATTTAGCTTTGAGTTACCATCTGACTTTTCTCTAGAACTCTTTAAATATTTGAGGACAGAGTCAGATGAACTAATAATGGGAATATTCTCCTAGATACCTGATCCCTTAGCAGAGCATTTCTCCAAGTGAGGGGCTTTAAGCCCTCTGTCCACCACTCATCTGTCAGTTTGTCATACTGTGATGGTTTGTGTATTATTGTGATGCTGGATGCTGTGCCACCATTATTTCCAATACCAGTGGGGTAACCCATGGTGGACAGGTTTCAGCAGAACTTCCAGACAAAGACAGGCTAGAAAGAAGGACGTGTCAGGCTACTTCTGAAAAAATTGGCCACTGAAAACCATAAGACATTGTCTAATATAGTGCTGGAAGATGAGCCCCTCAGGATGAAAGGCATTCAAAAATGACCAGGGAAGAGCTACTTCTCAAAGTAGAGTTGACCCTGATGACGTGGATGGAATAAAGCTTTCAGGGTCTTCATTTGCTGATGTGGCATGACTCAAGATGAGAAGAAACAACTGTAAACATCTGTTAGTAATCCGAATATGGAAAGCATAAAGTATTAATCTAGGAAATCTAGAAATTGTAAATAATGGAATGGAAGGCATAAAGATCGATATCCTAGGTATTAATGAGGTGAAATGGACTAATATCATCCATTTTGAATCATTCATGTGGTCTACTATGCTGGGAATGACAAGATGAAGAGGAAGGGTGTCACAGTCATAGTCAAAAAGAACATTTCAAGATATATCCTAGTAAAATGCAATCAGTAATAGGATGCTACCTATATACCTACAAGGAAGACCAGTTAATATGACTATTACTCAAATATATGCATCAACCAACCCTTAAACCCAATAATGAAGAATTTTAAGAATTTTACCAAATTCTGCAGTCTGAAATTGATGAAACATGCAATGAAGAGGCATTGATAATTATTGGTGATTGGAGTACGAAAGTTGAAAATAAAGAAGTATTGGTAGTTGGAAAACATGGCCTTGGTGATAGAAAAAACACTGGAGATTGCATGATAGACTTTTGCAAGACCAACAACTTATTCATTGCAAATACATTTTTTCAGCCACATAAATGGCAACTATACAAGTGGACTATACCAGATGGAAAGAATACGCAGGAATCAAATTCACTACAGCTGTGGAAAGAGACAAGGGAGAAGCCCAAAATCATCTGTCAGAGTAAGACCGGGGCTGACTGTGGAACAGACCATGAATTGCTCATATGCAAGTTCAAGTTGAAGCTGAAGAAAATTAAAATAAGTCCACAAGAGCCAAAATATGACTCTAATTATGTTCCACCTGAATTTAGAGACCATCTGAAGAATAGATTTAACACACTGAACATCAATGACCGAAGACCAGATGAGTTGTGTGATGACATCAAGGACATCATACCTGAAGAAAGCAAAAGATCATTAAAAAGACCAGGAAGAAAGTATATATCCTAAAAAGTGAGAGCAGACTAGATATATGCACCCCCATGTTCATTGCAGCACTATTCACAATAGCAAAGAGACGGAAGTCACCTTACGTATCCATTAACAGAGGAATGGATAACCAAACTGTGGTACGTATATACAGCGGAATACTATGCAATACTAAAGAATAATGTAAAATCTTCAAAATACCACATGATGTGGGTGAACTTGAAGAACATTATGCTGAGTGAAATAAGTCAATCACAGAAGGACAAATATTGTATTAGTCCACTATTGTGAAAAGTCAAGGGGGAAGAAGAATGTCAAGGAAAGGTTTATATATGGAAGAAAATTTTATTTGTTGGTTACCAGGGATGGGAGGGGAGGAGAGGGAAAATTCCTAAATAGATTGGGAGAAAAAATAAATAAATATGTATGTATGTATGCATGTATATTTAGTGGTTACAAGGGGTAGGAGGGAGGGGGAAAAGGGGAAGTTGTGGGGCATTGAGTTTATGCTAATGATGGTAGAATATTTTGGAAAAAGATAACAATAATGTGGCACAACATGAAAAACGTCATCAATGTCCCTGAGCTGTAATTGTGGAAGTTGTTATTTTAGTGACAATCTTGTTGTGTATGTTTTCATCACTATATAAGTTAAAAAAAAAAAAAGGAAGAAAAAAAGACCAAATGGATGTCAGAAAAGACTCTGAAACTTGCTAAAGCGAATGGAAGAAATCATGAAGTAAAAGAGCTAAACAGAATATTTCAAGAGGCGGCTTAAGAACACAAATTAAAGTACTATGATGAAAAGTGCAAAGACCTGGAGTTAAAAAACCAAAAGGGAAGAACACAGTCGACATTTCTCAAGCTGAAAGAACTGAAGGAAAAATTCTCTTCTTGAGTTGCAGTGTTGAAGGATTCTATGGGCAAAATATTGAACGATAACATATTGAGGAAACATCAAAGAAGATGGGAAGAATACAAAGATTTACTGTACCAAAAAGAATTGGTCAGTGTTCACCAATATCAAGAGGTAGCATGTGATCAGCACTGATGGTATTGAAGGAAAAAGTCCAAGCTACACTGAAGCCATTGGCAAAAAACAAAGCTCCTGGGATCGAGGGAATACCCATTCAGATGTTTCAACAAATGGTTGCAGCTCTGGAGGCACTCAATCATCTATGACAAGAAATTTTAGAAGACAGATACTTGGCCAACTGACTAGAAGAGATCCATATTTATGCCCATCCCACAGAAAGCTGATCCAACAGAATGTGGAAATTATCAGACAGTATCATGCAAGTACAAGTGTGCTGAAAATAATATAGGGAACTGCCAGAATTTCAAGCCAGATTCAGAAGAGGACATGGAGCAAGGGGTATCATCATTGCTGATGTCAAATGGATCTTGGCTGAAAGCAGAGTATTTTGGATACTTTTTGTACCCCTCTAACAGGAATATACCACAAATGGGTGATTCTTAATAAAATTAGTTTATTTTCTTACAGTTTAGGAGACTAGAAGTCTGGGTTAAAAGTGCTAGCTCTAGGTTCTGGGTGAAAGCCCCTTGATCTTGGGCTTCAGCTCTGCCTATTGCTCCTGGCCCACTGGAGCTACAGGTGTCTCTTCACTCAGGCAGCTGCTGACTGCTGAGGCTAACAAGCCCAAGGTCAACAGATAACGTAACATGGTTCCAATATTACCAAACAACTCAGCAGGCTACTAGTTCAAGTCCAGAAACAGTCCCAAGATTGGCAGGAAACATGGCAGACTGCTAAATGAAGACTTGGCTACATGCAGGGTCCAAGTATGCCAAAAAGCTCCAGAGATCTTTCTTAAAATTTCTCCATATATATTGGAAGCAGACCACATCCTTAAGGCAGCTACTCATCTGCTCCAGAAGATTCCACCATGGAGTTGATTACCAGTCTCATCATGGGGAATAACTATATCCAGCTGCCCAACCACTCAAAACCAGGCCCAGCCAAATTGACACATAACCTTAACTACCACACAGAAAATACCACAAAGATGTTTACCTGTGTTTTGTTGACTATGCAAAGGCATTTGACTGTGTGGATCATAACAAATTATAGATAGCATTATAAAGAATGAAAATCCCAGAATACTTAATTCTGCACACGATGAACCTGTATATAGACCAAAACCAAAAAAACCAAACTCACTGCCGTCAAGTCGGTTCCAACTCATAGCCACCCCTCTTTGGGTTTCTGAGGTGGTATCTCTACGGAAGTAGATTGCCCAGCCTTCCTTCCAAGGAATAGCTGGTGGGTTTGAACTGCCAGCCTTCTGGTTAGCAGTCCAGTGCCTTAGGCCACTTGGAGCTCTCTTATATAGACCAAGAGGGATCATATGAACAGAACAAGGGGATACTATGTGGTTTAAAATCAGGAAGAGTGTGCACCAAGCTTGTATCCTTTTACCATACTTATTCAGTCTATGTTCAGAGCAAATTATCTGAGAGAAGCACTGGACTGCATGAAGTAGAACACAGCATCAGGTTTGAGGGAAGGCTCATTAACAGCCTGTGATATGCAGATGACACAATCTTGTTTTCTGCAAGTGAAAAGGACTTAAAGCATTTACCCCCTAGAG